TGTGGCTGGTCTCGTCCCCCGGGGCCCGTCCCCCGGGAGCCCCATGCTGCTGCCCCGCCCTGGTGGCGCCAGGCCTTCCTGGCTCAGACAGCTGGGCGGCCTGAGTTGGCTTTTGTAGCCAAGCGGCCCCCGGGGCGCGTTGGAGTGTGGTGGGAGGTGATTCTCCACTTACCCTGTCGCCTGCCTCGGGAGTCAGGCAGGGCTCCCGTCTCTTCCTTCTCAGCCGCGGGGGAGAATGGGGTGCCTGTGGCCCCGAGTCCGTCAGGCTGACTTCTGCATCGGCGCATGTCGGCAGTTTGCGAGCTGAGGGGCAGCTGAGCGCCGGCCTCCGTCCCCCGCCTCAGGAGAGCGGCCCCAGCGCCCACTCCTGCCCCACCGGGAGCCTCCGGGCGTCTCCCCCCTCGGGCTGCGGGGGCTGCGGGGGCGGGGCTGCCAGTGTCCTCAGAGCAACTCAGACATCTGCTACCCTAGCGGCTGCCACATGCAAATGCTCAGTTTTCGGGCAGCCTCGTAGGAATGGAGGAATAAAACGGTGAAATTAACTTTAATATTTTACTTAACCCAGTACATCCAGAATATTGTCTTTCAACCTGTAATTATGAAAATTAGGAAACATCTTATAGTCTGATGTTCAGACTAAGTATTTGAGATACAGAGGATTTTGTATGCAGACAGTGTCCACGGAGCCCCGTCGTGGTCTGCAGGCAGGGTACACATGTCCACGGAGCCCCGTTGTGGTCAGCAGGCAGGGTACACGTGTCCACGGAGCCTTGCTGTGGATGGCAGGCAGGGTACACGTGTCCACGGAGCCCTGTTGTGGTCGGCAGGCAGGGTACACGTGTCCACGGAGCCTTGTCGTGGATGGCAGGCAGGAAGGCCAGGCACGTGCCTGGTGTAACTGTAGGACTAAATGGCTTCTGTGTGTCTGTCTGCGGCACCACCATCACTCACGTCAGCACACGTACACACTGCCGGCCGGGCTAAGGGCAGGCTGCCTGTTCCGTTGCTTGGAACAGCGCCCACACGGGCCACCCTTGGGATGTGGCCATGAGCAGGCGGACAGGTAGCAAACGAACCACGGTCAGGAGACGCGATTGTCCGCTGGGCCCTCTGCTCTGCGCTCCTCCCTTTGGTCCTGACTCGCCGTCCCAGCGGGCGCACCTGGGCCATCGTGACGGTGCTGTCCAGGTCGTGGCGTCTCCTCGGCGGACAGACCTGCTTCCTGTCGTCGCTGAGGAAAAGGGTGTTCCGAGAGCCTGAGCTTGGGCCCTGGCCCCCAGGGGTGCCTCCCTGTGAGTGCCCCGGTGCGTCAGCTGCACGTGAGGTCACAGGGTGATCGTGAGTTTCCGTGTGGTGGCCGTGTGCCAGGAGCATGCACCCTGACACCGCTTGGTGCTGGGTCACCTGACGCAGAGACAGACAGGTGCTGGGTGGCCTTTCTGTGTTTTGCACTGAGCATCTCATGGCCCAGTTGATTCTTGGGGAATACATGTGTATGTATTTTAACAACCCTTTATTTTTTAATATGTTTTTGTTGTTTTTTTTGTTTTAGGGAGAGAGGAAGGGAGAGAGAGATAGGAACATTGATGAGAGAGAAACATTGATCAGCTGCCTCCTGCACGCCCCCTACTGGAGATGGAGCCTGCAACCCGGGTGTGTGCCCCAGCAGGAATTGAACAGGGACCTCAGTCCATGGAAGGACCCTCAAACCACTGAGCCACACCGGCCGGGCATTCTTGCGGAATATTTTAGGTTAAATACAGTTTGTTTTGTTAGATGTTAGAATTTGAAGATCTGGCCCAAAGATGTTACAAAGCTGTGTCCTGTCTGTCTTCTTGGCAGTCGTGTGGCCTCCGGGGCCCTAGGCTGGGTCCCATCCGCAGCCCGTGGGCGACGTGCCCAGGACCTGCCCCGCGCCGACATCGCGGCAAGAGAGGGAGGTGTCGTTGCCGCCTGCCCTGGCGTCCTGTCTGTGAGAACACCGCCTCCTGGTGACCCATCTGCTGGGTGGCCACTTCCCGAGGTGACAGTTTACCCGGGAATGCTGCTTGTGCGCCGAGCGTGACTGCGCTGGACCACACGTGGGCTGCCTGTGAGGGGGGGACGTTGCCGTCCCACTGACTGGGGCAGGCCCTGAGGCACAGAGGTCCAGGCTCGTGTGGCTAACAGTGTCAAGGACGTAGCTCTGGAGGTTGTGGGTCAGGGCGGTGGGAGGGCGGGACTTGGGCCCCACGCCCCGAGCTGTGGTCTCTCCGCCCCATGTCACTGCTGCCCTGCTGACCTGAGCGTTTGCAAGGGGCCCGACAGAACTCGGGGGCCCTAACGGGACCCCACCCGCACTTTCAGGGAGCACATGGATGCCGGTGTACCGGCGTTTTGTCCTGCCGGGAGGGGGTACACACGTGGCGGTCACTGTCCTTAGCAGATGACGCCGGACTCTCTGGAGGCTCAGAAGGAGGGCCCAAGCCCCCCCACCTGCACCAGCATCAGATGCTCACCTCCGGGACCAGCTTGAGGTGGAGCCAGCAGCAAGGGTTCTGTCTCAGGCACGTCCCTGCCCCCTGGCCGTGGTCATCACACCTGGGAACAGCTGGCACAGGGCTTCCCCCCCAGCCTCCCCTGCACCTGTCCTGGGGCCGAGTGAGTCAGGCCGCTGTCGTGGGGCGGCCTCTGTTGACAAGGGGCAGCAGCTGCAGCCCACAGCCTCGCGAGGCAGCGTGCAGCGTCCGGGGCCCCCAGGACTGCCGGTCCCCTGGGAACCAGCTCGGGCCCAGGCTCCCTGAACTCAGGCTCCCTGGGTGGTCAGGGCTAAAGCTGCAGAGCTCCAGGCGGTGTAGGCGGTCCACCCCTCGGGGGCGTGCCGGGCAGTGCGTGCCTGTGGGGAGGAACGTGGAGGCAGGCCGACTGGGAGGAGGGGCGGGGGAGTGAGGCGCTGCTGCAGCGTTGTCGATGTCGTGGGGTCTCAGGACGAGGGCGGGGACGAGGGTGGGGACCTGCCTCACCGATGTCTGAGAGTCAGTGTTGTGACCGAGCCTTACTTTAATCGTCAGATTCACAAGCGTGGTCACCCCTCGTGTGTGGAAAGTGCAGATGAGAACTGAATTGCCCGACGGTTGCTGGACAGACCATTGCCAGCCCGTCTCAGCCCCTCCCTCCTGCCAGCACGTCCTGGGGCCTCTCCCCAGCAGGGCCATCCCTGGGGGTGACCCGTGACAGCCCCACGAGCGATGGCCCATCACCAGTGTGATGTGGACATAACGAAACAGCTCACGGCCGCAAGACGTGCCCGGGCCCCGGACCCGAGATGTCCTGCCCGGTCGTAAAGGAGCCGCCTTTGAGGAGGAAGTCTGTGTTCTAAGGACCGGACTGTTCTCTGCCTCCGGTAAAGGTCACCCGGGCAGATTTCTGGCTTTAGCATTGCAGACTGCGAGCGCCGGGCATTTCTATTCTGCCTCCGTCCCGTGAGCCTGGGGACTAAATTAGATTCTGAAATTGAGTGTGTACCGCGGCGGCGAGTCCGTGACGGGGGCTCGCTGCTCCCCTGCAAGTGGCGGGGTCATGATGACACGAGCGAAGTGGATTAAAATAAAACCAAAGGAGTTTGTGTGCGGCCTGCTCGGAGTCGGGGGTGCTGCGCTGGCCGCACCGGGGGCGGGGGGCAGCGGCTCGTGCTGCCGCCTCCCCAGGGACGCTCTGCAGCCAGTCTGCCCTGCTCGTCCCGTTTAAAGGCCCCCCGGAAGGATCTAAAATGCAGGAGGAAGAGGAGGAGCGGCCTGGGAGGGTCCGCGGAGGGAAGGGCCGCGGCGCCTGGCGGCACAGATGAGGGACCGAGGCCCCGACCCGGCCAGTGGCCGGCCCAGCCCGCAGGCAGGATCTGAGCCCGGGCCTGGCGTCCAGTCTGTGTCCTGAGTGCCCACGGCGAGCAGGCTGTGCCAGATGGCTGCACCCCGGCCATCTCCAGATAACGGGTGGGGCTCAGAGAGAGAAGCTCAGTTGCCCAAGGCCACACGGTAACAGAGGGCCAGGACCAGATGTGACACTGAGCCCTGTTGCTCTGCTGTGCCCACCCCCCGTGCCAGCACCAACAGGAGGCTGGGTGGTCTGAGCTCTGGGGCTGAGTCTCGGGGCTGCATTATCAGGCAGGAAGGGGGGGCACCTGAGTCTGACTGTCACTTGTCACCTGCCCCAGCACCCTCAGAGCCCAGCCACACTCCGATGTCCCCAGACCCAGCTTCTTCCGGAAGAGGCTGCGGAGTCCATTGGGATCGGAGCCCGTGGGCCCTCCCTTGGGTTCTTCCCCCTCCTGCCAAGCCTCCTGGTGCCAGGCTGGTGCTCCCTGAAACCTACCCCATCCTTGCCAGGGCCTCCAGCTGCTCTGGACAGGTCTGCCGGGAGGCTGGTGTTCGGCGCGGTGGCCAGCATGTGGGCTGGGTCTCACACGGCGATACCTTTGCTTCCCTGCACCTCCTCAGAGCGGTTTATTAAAGCACCGTCTCTTTACCACCCCTCACCCTGGTGTCTAAACGTTGAGCTCCGGAGGCAGCCGTGCCCTGGAGGGTGGCTCAGTGCCAGCCACCAAAATGAGATGGGCACTGCAGGGTGGCTGGGCCGGGGCAGCTGGAGGTCGCCTGCCGTGCCGCCTGCCCAGGTGCCCAGGTGCCCATGTCCCTGCTGCAGTGTCACAGACGCCTGTCCACCGGATTTGGGGCCTGAGGACACTGGGGCGGGGCGGCCCCTCCTCCCGGCCTGGGTCTGTGGAGCCTCAGGGGACGGGAGCGGGAGGCTCCCGCGTGGAGGCAGCCAGGCCCTCCAGGCCGTTTCCCACAGACACGTCTCCTAAGCCTGGGCCTCCTGGACGTGGACGTGGGCCTGCGGGCGAGGGGGAGGGCACACGGTGGATCTGGGGGCTGCCTCGGGGGGGCTGGGAAAGCGCGGAGCCCCTGCGGCTCACCCCCACTGGCCGGCTGCTGTCTCCTCTGACCTGGCCTGTGTCTCCCCAGGAGCTGCTGCTGCTCCTGCAGAACCTGCCCACGGCCCTCTGGGGCGATGAGGACGTCAGCCTGCTGCTGGCCGAGGCCTACCGCCTGAAGTTTGCCTTCGCCGACGCCCCCAACCACTACAAGAGATGAGCGTGGGCCCGACAGGCACCCGCCACGCCGGCGAGGCCCGTGACCAAGGAGAGGCCTTGCTGGACAGGCCTGCGCCCAGGCGCCTGCCAGGAGGCACAGCAGCCCAGGGGCTGGCCGGCAGGGTGGGCTCCTGTTTCCTGAGATGCCAAAGAGCCTGGGGAGGGTGCTGGCTCGGGGCCACGAGCGGCCGGGCCTTCCCGTTCTGGGGCGTCCTTGCCAAATGACCACGGCTGAAGACCCTGGCCCGTGGCAGCCCCGCCCGGAGAGGCTGCGCCCGGGTGCCAAGGACAGAGGGAGACATCTTGTACCTGCGTTAAATGCAAAAGTCCTATTCTGTCGAGTGAGAGAATAAAGTGTAGACAGACCGTGAGTGGAGCGTCACACGGGCTCAGACCTGCTCTCGGCAACCATGGGCCTGCCCCTCCGAGCTGGGTGCGGGCCCTCTGCTGCCTGCCCCTCCGAGCTGGGTGCAGCCTGCCCCTCCGAGCCGGGTGCGGGCCGTCTGCTGCCTGCCCCTCCGAGCCGGGTGCAGGCTGCCCCTCTGAGCCGGGTGCGGGCCGTCTGCTGCCTGCCCCTCCGAGCCGGGTGCGGGCCCTCTGCTGCCTGCCCCTCCGAGCTGGGTGCGGGCCGTCTGCTGCCTGCCCCTCCGAGCTGGGTGCAGCCTGCCCCTCTGAGCCGGGTGTGCTGCCTGCCCCTCCGAGCTGGGTGCAGCCTGCCCCTCCGAGCCGGGTGTGGGCCCTCTGCTGCCTGCCCCTCCGAGCTGGGTGCAGCCTGCCCCTCCGAGCCGGGTGTGGGCCCTCTGCTGCCTGCCCCTCCGAGCCGGGTGCAGCCTGCCCCTCCGAGCCGGGTGCGGGCCGTCTGCTGCCTGCCCCTCCGAGCCGGGTGCAGCCTGCCCCTCCGAGCCGGGTGCGGGCCGTCTGCTGCCTGCCCCTCCGAGCTGGGTGCAGCCTGCCCCTCTGAGCCGGGTGCGGGCCGTCTGCTGCCTGCCCCTCCGAGCTGGGTGCAGCCTGCCCCTCTGAGCCGGGTGCGGGCCGTCTGCTGCCTGCCCCTCCGAGCCGGGTGCAGGCTGCCCCTCTGAGCCGGGTGCGGGCCGTCTGCTGCCTGCCCCTCCGAGCTGGGTGCGGGCCGTCTGCTTTGAGCCCAAGGCAGGGGACCCGGGAGCAGGGAACCCATGGCGGACAGGAGCTGCTGCGGCTGCTGCTGGAAGATGGACAGATGGACAGGCAGACGGGTGCAGCCCCTGGGATGGAACGTGAACCACTGGGCTCGTCCCACAGTGGTGGGCGGAGTGGATCAAGCTTCTGAGACTGGGCGGCCCCACCTTCCCCTTGCCAGGGCCCCACCCGGGGTGTGGGACACGCAGCCTCCTTCTCTAGGTCCATGTGTCCTCTCCACTGTGAGCGGTGTGGGCTGCCGGAGCCCGGGGTGCAGAGCAGAGGGGATGCGGGGCCCACACGCAGGGTGGGGCTGCCACCCCTGGGGCTGCCTCTGAGCTTCACCCTCTCACCTGCTGTCCATGCCAGGCATCTGGCTCCGAGCCTCCGTCTCCCCTCAGGAGGGTGGCCGCTCCTGCCCTAGTTGTCCGTCTGTCCATCCAGGGGCAGGGGTTCGCCTGGGCCAGGCGCCGACTTCCCTCCCTCCCTCCCTCTCTCGCCCTGGGCCCAGGCTGTGGGAGCAACAGCGGAGCCCTTTGCGCTAACTCCTGCTCTGCCGGCGAACAGATGGGGACACTGAGGCAGGGGTCCATACTGCCCCCCTGCTCAGAGCTGACCCAGGGCCCACGCCCCTCGCTCTGTCCCATAACGCCTGGGGGAGGGGTGCAGGGACAGTGCCACCCAGCCAGCCTTGCTGAGGGCCACTGGCCAGCGGGCGGTGCCGCTGGACACCTCCCGGGGGCGGGCTGCCCGGGCTCTGCAAGCCCCTCGGGTCCAGCGCACCCCAGGCTGCCGGGCGGGGCCGGAACCCTGCTGCGACCATCGGTTTCGCGGCTGCGCTGCCCTGTCCTGGGGGTGCAGCGCCGTGTGGGCCGGAAGGACGGGCCCAGCGGGTGAGGAGGGACTTCTGACGGCCGCACTCCCTGGTGCCGAGATCCATCTGTCAGCCTAGATGTGGTGACGTGGTAACTTACTCGGTGACCTACTGAAGACGTGCAGTTCAAGGTTCGGGGTGACAGTCTCCCCTGGGAAGGTCAGGCACTCCCCTGTTCTGCCTCGGGCTCCTGGGTCTCATGGGAGGGCAGTGGGCAGACTCTTCCCGTTGGCCCAGGAGGTCAGCGGTCTGGCTCAGCATGCGGGCTGGGGCTGAGCCACCCCTGGGTTCCGGGTCAGAGCTTCGACCTTGGGCAAAGCCTCCCACACCCTGTGCCCAGCCCTGAGCCGATGCCCGAGGGGCCGCAGGGACTGGGTCGGTGTCCAGCCTCCAGTCTGGGGGTGAATGAACCTTTATAGAAGGCGCAGGGCTGGGCACGGGCGTGGGGGAGGGGGCCAGGCCCGAGGAGACCAGGGCTGGGCAGGAGGCCCTGAGCAGCCTCGTCCGGCCTCTGGCTCAGCAGGCCCGGCTCTGTGCAGGGCACATCCTTGGCCCTGGCTGCCCTTGTCTGGGTCGTGGTCCCTCCTAGGCCCCTCCCTGCTCTGTGTGGGTCTGAGCCCGCAACTGGGAGCATGGAACCCGGCCTGCCCCTCCCAGCGCCCACCCTGTGGGCCCAGGATAGCTCAGGTTTTGGGGTTCTACCAAAGCCCCCCATCCTCCGTCACGTGTGGAGGCCATGGTGGGTTCTGCCCGAGGGGCACCTGCCTCCAGCCCATGGGGACCGCCTGGGAGGTACGTGCACACGCTGTGGGGAGGCCCCTGGGAGGAGCGCGGACCCCCTCCTGCTGCCGCCGCTTCCCCCTCCTCCTGGCCGCTCGTCCGGTCACTCACATGTCTCCCCAGCACTGCCCACCGGAGCGAGGGGCCCTTTCTCACCCCGACACCGCCAGCAGCTAGCTCGGGTCCTAGTCCTACTCCTGTGGGCCTTGGGCAGCTGACCTCCCTGCTGGGTGCTCAGTGTCTCCGTCTGCACGCCCTGTCCCGTGGTGCCCGGTGTCCCCCTCTGCACACCCTGTCCCGTGGTGCCCGGTGTCCCCGTCTGCACGCCCTGTCCCGTGGTGCCCGGTGTCCCCGTCTGCACGCCCTGTCCCGTGGTGCCCGGTGTCCCCCTCTGCACGCCCTGTCCCGTGGTGCCCGGTGTCCCCCTCTGCACGCCCTGTCCCGTGGTGCCCGGTGTCCCCCTCTGCACGCCCTGTCCCGTGGTGCCCGGTGTCCCCGTCTGCACGCCCTGTCCCGTGGTGCCCGGTGTCCCCGTCTGCACGCCCTGTCCCGTGGTGCCCGGTGTCCCCGTCTGCACGCCCTGTCCCGTGGTGCCCGGTGTCCCCGTCTGCACGCCCTGTCCCGTGGTGCCCGGTGTCCCCGTCTGCACGCCCTGTCCCGTGGGGCCCGGTGTCCCCCTCTGCACGCCCTGTCCCGTGGTGCCCGGTGTCCCCGTCTGCACGCCCTGTCCCGTGGGTGCCCGGTGTCCCCGTCTGCACGCCCCTGTCCCGTGGTGCCCGGTGTCCCCCTCTGCACGCCCTGTCCCGTGGTGCCCGGTGTCCCCCTCTGCACGCCCTGTCCCGTGGTGCCCGGTGTCCCCGTCTGCACGCCCTGTACGTGGTGCCCGGTGTCCCCGTCTGCACGCCCTGTCCCCGTGGTCCCGGTGTCCGCACGCCTGTCCCGTGGTGCCCGGTGTCCCCGTCTGCACGCCCTGTCCCGTGGTGCCCGGTGTCCCCGTCTGCACGCCCTGTCCCGTGGTGCCCGGTGTCCCCCTCTGCACGCCCTGTCCCGTGGGGCCCGGTGTCCCCGTCTGCACGCCCTGTCCCGTGGGGCCCGGTGTCCCCGTCTGCACGCCCTGTCCCGTGGTGCCCGGTGTCCCCCTCTGCACGCCCTGTCCCGTGGTGCCCGGTGTCCCCGTCTGCACGCCCTGTCCCGTGGGCGCCGGTGTCCCCGTCCTGCACAGCCCTGGTCACGTGGTGCCCCGGTGTCCCCGTCTGCACGCCCGGTCACGTGGTGCCCCCGGTGTCCCCGTCTGCACGCCCTGTCCCGTGTTGCCCGGTGTCCCCGTCTGCACGCCCTGTCCCGTGGTGCCCGGTGTCCCCGTCTGCACGCCCTGTCCCGTGGTGCCCGGTGTCCCCGTCTGCACGCCCTGTCCTGTGGTGCCCGGTGTCCCCGTCTGCACGCCCTGTCCCGTGGGCGCGGTGAGGGTCAGTGAGTCACCACACTCCAGGGCACCTGAAGGCATGCTTGGCGGTGGCGGCACTGGGGTCCTTGCCCCTGAAGAAGCAGCCTTCACCCCACAATCAGAGACATGCAGACACCTCCCTGCCACAGCGTGCCCGTCCCCACACTCTGGGTGAGGGAATCAACCCAGGTTCCTGTGAGGCTGCAGACTCGGGAGCCCGGCCCTGGGGCCTCTACCCCCATCCCCACCACAGGTCTGCCGGCACCCTCCCTCCGGCCATGCAGCCCTGCTGGAGCCCCGCCCCTGGAACCCCTGCCCCTGGAGCCCCCCACCCCTGGACCCCCCACCGTGGAATACCCCCGCCCCTGGAACCCCTGTCCCTGGACGCCCCCCTGACCATGGAACCCCCCCGCCCCTGGAACCCCGACTCCCCCCATCCCTGGAGCCCCGCCCCTGGACCCCCCCCCGACCATGGAACCCCCCCGCCCCTGGAACCCCGACTCCCCCCATCCCTGGAGCCCCGCCCCTGAACCCCCTGTCCCTGGACTCCCCCGTGACCATGGAACCCCCCCCGCCCCTGGAACCCCGACTCCCCCCATCCCTGGAGCCCCGCCCCTGGACCTCCCTGTCCCTGGACACCCCCCTGACCATGGAACCCCCCCGCCCCTGGAATCCCCCCACCCCTGGGCCCCCCCACCCCTGGACCCCCCTGTCCCTGGACGCCCCCCTGACCATGGAACCCCCCCGCCCCTGGAGCCCTCCGTCCTCTAGGGATGACCTGCTCCCAGACTTCAAATGGAGTCCTTGCCATTCAGGCCTGGGCTCAGACCCTGACCACCCTGAGGGCCCCCCTCCCATCACTGTGGACACCTGCCTGGACCTTCCCTGACACTCACCGTGCACCTGAAGGGTTTGTCTGTCCCCGGCCCTCCCCCAGCTACCCGCAAGCTCTCCGGGACCCCAGACCCCACAGGAGGAGCCTGATGGGACGACTTCCGTCACCCCTCCCTTGGCTTCATCACACCCCTGGAGGGGTCTCTGAGCCCCCACCTGAGGAAGTGAGGCCGTGTGGGCCTCTACCCCCCCCCCGTGCCGTGGGGACACCAGCTGGCCGTGGGGGA